CGGAGGGGTTGGAGGGGAGACATCACCCAAAGTCCAGTTTAGCAAGTTGTTGGCTCTTCTGGTGTGCCGGCCAATTACTCCTCCTGCTAAAACTGAACGTTGTTGGAGAGTGTGGGTTAGGGATGAGGGCAGAGGGGAGGCAAAGGGGGAGTAGCTTTCGAGAGACTCGTGTGCCTCCCTCCCCTTCTCAGCTTCTTTGGAAGTTGAGAGTCCTGCCGGCCGGCTGAGAGAAGAACTAAGTTGGGCTATAGTCTTAAATCGCCCAAGGAGGCAGGTGGGAGTGTGAACCTGCTGCGGCTCTTGGCAATCCGGAGCCCTACTCTGCCTGGGGGAAGGCTCGGAGCTCACCTGCTTGTTTTAATTTTTCCAAGAAGGTCTGTGTCGTCTCCCTGAGCTTATGAAAACAGAGCAAGCACAGGATGGCCTTCTCTCAAAGTCAAGACTAGAAGTCTTCTCTCTCTCTCTCTCTCTCTCTCTCTCTCTCTCTCTCTCTCTCTCTCTCTCTCCCTCTCTCTCTCCCTACCCTCCCACCTATACCCTCCCTTATGAAAAAAAAAATCATTTCCTTTCCTAAACTAGGTAGGCAGAGGTCTATTTTTTAGCAGAGTGCGCATGAGCAGGGCCTGACAGGTGTGTTGTGTCAAGAAAGACAGGTGCAAATTTCCTCTGTGTCTGTACAGTTCCAGACCACAGTGCATGCCCCAGGGTTGTAGAGGTTTATGAATTTATGGTGGCCCTAGTTAATAGGATTGTCTGAGCTAATGGGAATGGGCTGTTGCTATGTTTTGAGCCCTGCCATGGGAGTTCTTGGGTTGGGGGTGGGGGCCAAGTTGGTATGTGTTTGTTTTTCTTAAGGATGTTGGCAGGCTGCTGCTGAGGCTGTGTCTCAGGCTCCTGTACGCCAGGCAGCTGAAAGTACCCCCACTTCAGGCAGCAGGTGGAGGGAGATTGACTTTCCCTTTGCTTCTGTCCAGTTTATGTCTATCTGTCTCCCAGGTCTCTGTGTGTGTGTGTGGGTGGGGGGGTGCACTGTGAGAGCTGTGTGTGTGTGTGTTGGACAGCCGTGGGTGGTGTGTGTAACTGCCAAGAATACTAAAGTCAGTTTGAAAGTGTTACTATTGTTAAAGCTTATCTTTTTAGCGTGCTTTCTCTCTGCCCAGAAAGAATAGGTATGTGCATAAACTCTTTCAAGTCATATGTTAAATATTCTCATAAAGTAGAATGAGCCTGTCATTGTACCAGACATGTGCCAGATGTCCTAGTTATTACTTTGATGAGGAAGGAAAATCTCAAGTACGTGAGAGGTAACTGCTTTTCTATTTGATGCAAGATGTGGGGAGTCAGTTCTGTGAAGCGTTTCTTGCAAGAACTTCTTTGTGTGTTTTCAAAATGAAATGGGTTGTGTGTAATGAGGAAGAAAAAGGGGAGTATTCAGGTTAACCTGTCCATGCACACAACATGGCTATGTTTATATCATGGTCAAACAGACGAAGGTAAGGACTGTGGCTTGATGTGTGAGGGAAGATGTTGAGAATTCAATGTAAGCACTCTATCTGGATTCTTAAAACTTGGGCTTTAAATTTTTTTTTCTTTACACAAGCTACTTCTTGAGTCGCCTAGAATTAGATTAGGTGGTGAATGATTTTTGTTGGTTTTGTTGCTTGGGCGATGATTATTGTTTCATGCAAATGTGACAGTAGGTGTCATTTATTCTGTAGACTTCAACATCAAAGTTTCCCTCCAGTACTTTCCTTGGATGCTTTTGAAGTTCTTTCATAATTAAAATGTCATCTATGGATATCTTCTTTTGCTTTATTTTTCATAGGGGTTATCTGTGATTGGTATTCACTGATATTTTTATGTGTCCATTATGCAGAATTCTATTTAGTTGAATCACTGCTTTGTGGGGGGAAAAAGTCATGCATATATAACATGTATCTTTGTTCGCACTGTATTCATTTCCTAGCATCGTTCCTCTACAAGTAGCACTTGCAATCTTAAGACATAAGCTAGCTGCCAGCTCACTCTTTATTTGTTCAAAGTACAAACGGGCCTGTTTCCCCCCACCTGAATTCTATCATTTTAGGCATAGCCTGGCACTTGCAACTGCTAATATAAGAAATTATTTAGGTTCGGGATTGACAAAAGAAATTAGAAAACATTACTGATTTCATAATATGCAGATGGATTGCACACAATATGTTATTATAGGACTCTATATAAGAACTGGTGTAAATTGGAAAGGACATATACATAAGGAATTTCTCAAACCTTATTGCCTACCATTTAAAAACTCCAAAGGACATTTAGAGTATTTTGAATTTCTATCAAAAGAAAAAGTGTGTTTTTTTCTTGAGATTATTTCTCACTCTGGTTTTCTAATGTGGTGAATTATTACCCTTTCAATAAGGAGAAGTATGGATATTTTAGGCATGTCTCAGGAAATGTTACATGTTCATTTTGCTGGTGACAATAGATAGAATGTTTGATAGCGTGGAGGAATTTTAAATGAAATGGTTATGATTTGAGAACTCTATTATGATATGAAAATTTTTAATTTGATATAAGATTTTGACAATACATTCTTAGTTAATTGACGTATTAACTTTTGTCAAGTGAGTTCTTCAAAATAAATGTCAAAGCCTTCTTTAACCTGATCATAGGCAGAAACACCTCCAAAGGAAAAGTTGCTAATTAACAAAATGAACTCTTGAATACAGTGAAGGGGACAATGTAGTGATTAGGGGAGTGGGGGAGAGTTGCCTAAATCAAATTATCTGATTTCTGCCCCCCCTTGAGTTACTGATTTCTAGATTGATTTAAATGTTTTTGATAGTGATATTCCATTTGAAATTTCATAACCAGGTTGACCCAAATAGATGAAAGGCCCATTCAAAGGATGTTTTCTAAAAGAAGTGTAAGCTTGAGCAATTTCTTCAAACAATTTTATCAACGAAGACAGGTATCCTAATTAATCCAAACAAGAAACCATACCAACCTTACACTCCCCCTGTCACATAAAAGATATGTCTGAACTATCTGGATAATTACTGTAATGAAACACTTCTTTGTCCAGAATCTGGACTCCAGATAATTGTATAAAAGTTGCACCCGCCTCTCCAAAATAAGTTCTTTATTAAAGTAAGAGCACTTAACCACTTGCTACTTCACCCTGGGGTGTTCCTTCAAAATTCTTCACTGAAAATTCTTTTCTACTAACATTAAGTTATCGGCTACCTTAGGATTAAGGTAAATGGAATGTCAGATAATTCAGACTTTAAGGAAGAATCTTTTGGAGTAGTTAAAATCTGACTTGATTATACCTGGATGTTTGTCCTGAAATTATCTTTTTCGGGGAGGAAACTGCTATGCTCAGATATCCATTGTGTAGGAATTACCAAAGCATTTGTGTTATTAGATGTCAAATGGTGCAACAAAATATTTACTAGTGAAAAATATTCTCTATAGATTTTCACATTAATTAAAAAGGAGTTTACAGGATTAGAGTCTGTGTATCCGATCAATAATACATTTGAGTTCAAATTCAACACCAGTATTTTTCTGCATACTTGCTGATCTTGATATTCACAATCACTGCTGACCAAGAGGTTTCATATTGCCTGGTTAAAACTCAAAATTAAGAAGACAATAATGCTGGGGAAAATAGAAGACAGCAGGAAAAGAAGAAGACCAAATATGAGATGGATGGACTCTATCAAACAAGCCATAGGCTCGAGTCTACAGGAGCTGAGCAGGGCTTGAGGACAGGACACTGTGGATGTCACTCATTCATAGGGGTCGCCTGGAGTCAGAGCTGATTCAACGGCACGGACCTACACACCAGAATCAATTATAACTGTAGTTGAAACATTCTGGTTTAGCACATACGTTGAGAAATACAGGACTTTAAAAAATCTTAATGGACAGGACAGCATGGATGATAAAGTCATTCCACAGCTTTCTCTAAATCCTGAATTGGGAAATCGTGGCAATGCTTTGAAAATGTTTTCAAGTGATTTAATTTATAGTATAGTCATTTAACAGTATGTTTTCTAATGTGGTAAATATATTTGCATATAGATCTTGTTTATGAGACATTACGTTGGTAAAATACTGTTGTCAACCAGTTATCATTATTTAATCCTGCCTAGAGCCTCCATGAGTTATAAGCCCAATGTGCACTATTACCTTTATTTCTAAGTTTAGGTCTAAACTATATGGAGAGATATATTTATTTATGCCTATTAATATAATGCCCAGTCTTGTTGGAGTCTCTCATTTTCCCTATTTTCCCCATTTGTTTCATCCTATTATATTATACCTCAGCTGGACATTTTACAACAAGACCTAAAAGTAATTCAATTCTCTTAGCCCCAAACAGAAACGAATCATTATTTAATCTAAAAATTCTGACCGGTAGAAAGAGAATTGCAAAAAACAGATGAGTTCGGTGCATTTGGAGGAAGTCACAGGATATTTTGTTATTATAAGACCCAACAAGCATGTTTAACTCTCAGTTTTTACTGAAGATGAAAGTATGATTTCCTTCCACCTGAGGAGGAGAACAGCCCGCCTTTTGGCTCCGGCATGAGGCAGGGATGCAGCTGTTGATACCTAGGCTAGATGACAGGAAGTACAGTTGACGCAAGGTAAATGGCAGTCGGGAAAGGAAGGATGCCTGTGGATGACCTTGTGCTCATCTCTTACACCAGCATATCGCTTCCGAGTCTTTGTGGCACAGGTGCTCTTCCTATAGCAAGGACGGGTAGCAGGAAAACCCAGTGTGGGTGTTAAGGTGAACTGGGGGAGAAAAATACTACAGAAAGTTTGCTCAGTGTTTTGATTGTAGATCCGCATACTTTTCAGCGGATATTAGAGAGAAAAGGGGTTGCACACCAAAAGAAAAGAGTTAACATTTTAAAATAATGACAGTGAACTCTATTTTGGGGAAGCTGGCGTGCATGCAAAAATAACTTCCCCCCAATGTGCAAGTCTTTCTGAGCTTTGAAATAATTCATCTTTTTTTGGTTTGTCTCCGTCTTCCCATTTCTCCCTCTCACCTGACAGTTACACCTGATTTATCAGATCTAATGTGTTAGTGAAAGATCTGGCATTGCCTTTCTGGACTCCTGAAACCAATTTTATTATTCATGTGTGAGGGGGTTCTCAGCTATTCTGAATTCGATTTGGAACCCAATATTCAAGTTATTAAGATATGTTTCCATTCCAAATTCAGGAAATTTTATCCTGAGCATACAAAAAGTATTTTTTGTATATTACATATATATATATATATATATATATATATATATATATATATATATATATAGAGAGAGAGAGAGAGAGAGAGAGAGGCATCATACTGCTTTCATGACACTCTAAAACAGGCTCTTTTAAAATGTTGTATCTTTGTATAGAAACCAGGAGCAAGCACTGCTTGATGAAATCTTTCTCACATAAAAAAAAATACACACTGCCATCTAAGCATTGAGCATTTTCTTGATTTTTACATGTTATTTCATGCTGAAATTATGCCTATTTGCATGGATAGTCATTCTTTAAAACTAGCCACAGATGCAGTCCTAGGGAGTACGTGGATGTTTTTACAGGTGAACCGAAAGAGATGGGAGCTGTTCCAAACACTCTGCACGCTGCTCTTGGCAATAGACCCTGTTATTGTGAAGATGTGCTCTGTTAAGCAAACGTGAAGTTTAATATTAGATAAACCCTGTGTGAAAAAAATATTCTCATTTTCTTCATAAAATGTTAATTGTAAGCAAAAAGATGTGACATCTTATATTTATGCCAAATTGGGTATTAGCAGCACTCGTTAATAAGTCACAAAATATGTCAAGTGCCTTTTATAAAATACAAGGAAGGATGTCCCCTTTTTATAGTGGATTCCCAAGAAATAATGGAAGTTCACAGGCAGGGAGTGTATTTTTCTTTCTCACATATATTGGAGTGATGTTATTTTCTTTCTTCTTTATGTATCTTCGTTCAGTCTTCCCCCCCCCCGTTTTTTTTCTTCATTTGGCATAAGAAATACAATTCACAAATGGTGTATATTAAAGAGTTTCTTTAGGCATGTGAAGTATTATTTTGGCAGATTTGAGCAGAAGGAAATTAGTCCGGAAGATGTGTATTTATCCTTGCCTAACTAAATTTATTGATTTCTAAAATGTGACAATATCCTTTTGTTTTTTTGCAGTGAGCCCATCTTTATACTAATTTAAGACATCAAAAAGACATCATGAAAATTTATAAATATTCTCATACTTCCATTAAAATATAGACACAGATACCATCTTCAAATGTGATTTTATTAATAAAAATGCACAGCTATGCTAAATAAGCAGACTTGTAATATGAGTATATTTATGCATTTATTTCAATATTAAATTGACCATTTATGTTCAAAAGATGCTGATGGGGGTGTTCTCCTTCCCATTTCACATATGATGAAAATATTTTAAAATTCAGCAATAAAGAATGTGTGTTAAATATTTGCATTTATTTTAAAGTGTTTTTCTTTTCATAGCATTAAAACCACAGTAATTTTAATGCAGAAATGGAATTTTTCATCCAAATTTCACTCAGCCTCAAAATGTAACCTTATTTCTTAAGGATAGCCCACTTTCATCTTCTTTTGTAATGTGAATCTCAATGCCCAAAATTTAATCAATTGGTTGTCAGAGGCTGTGTACTTATAATCTACTGTTTCTTCTGAAGATAAACAGTATCATTTTAGGCATTTGTGAAAGAGAATCATATTACTGGTGCTTAAGCAGTTTTTGCCTTTTTTTTTTTTAATCTTAATCCATCTTAAACCAGTGGAGCAGAAATATTTAAAAATGTTTCATTTTGAGCAGAGTGCATAATAAATTGCAATAATTGTAATGTGCCATAAATCCCAGAGCCTATGCATTTTGCATTTGATTCAGGATTGAGGTCAGGAAATTTGGAGAAATTTAAAGAAAATGATTCATCAGTCCTTTTGTTCTGTTGGCCAGGGTCCCGGGATTCTTGAGCTGTGCCCAGCTGACGAGCTTTTGAAGATGGCACAATAACTGTCCAGTGATGCCTGACCATGACAGCACAGCCCTCTTAAGCCGGCAAACCAAGAGGAGAAGAGTTGACATTGGAGTGAAAAGGACGGTAGGGACAGCATCTGCATTTTTTGCTAAGGCAAGAGCAACGTTTTTTAGTGCCATGAATCCCCAAGGTTCCGAGCAGGATGTTGAGTATTCTGTGGTGCAGCATGCAGATGGGGAAAAGTCAAATGTACTCCGCAAGCTGCTGAAGAGGGCGAACTCGTATGAAGATGCCATGATGCCTTTTCCAGGAGCAACCATAATTTCCCAGCTGTTGAAAAATAACATGAACAAAAATGGTGGCACGGAGCCCAGTTTCCAAGCCAGCGGTCTCTCTAGTACAGGCTCCGAAGTACATCAGGAGGATATATGCAGCAACTCTTCAAGAGACAGCCCCCCAGAGTGTCTTTCCCCTTTTGGCAGGCCTACTATGAGCCAGTTTGATATGGATCGCTTATGTGATGAGCACCTGAGAGCAAAGCGCGCCCGGGTTGAGAATATAATTCGAGGTATGAGCCATTCCCCCAGTGTGGCATTAAGGGGCAATGAAAATGAAAGAGAGATGGCCCCGCAGTCTGTGAGTCCCCGAGAAAGTTACAGAGAAAACAAACGCAAGCAAAAGCTGCCCCAGCAGCAGCAACAGAGTTTCCAGCAGCTGGTTTCAGCCCGAAAAGAACAGAAGCGAGAGGAGCGCCGACAGCTGAAACAGCAGCTGGAGGACATGCAGAAACAGCTGCGCCAGCTGCAGGAAAAGTTCTACCAAATCTATGACAGCACTGATTCTGAAAATGATGAAGATGGTAACCTGTCTGAAGACAGCATGCGCTCGGAGATGCTGGATGCCAGGGCCCAGGACTCCGTGGGGAGGTCAGATAATGAGATGTGTGAGCTAGACCCAGGACAGTTTATTGACCGAGCCCGGGCCCTGATCAGGGAGCAGGAAATGGCTGAAAACAAGCCCAAGCGAGAAGGCAACAACAAAGAGAGAGACCACGGGCCAAACTCCTTACAACCAGAAGGCAAACATTTGGCCGAGACCTTGAAACAGGAACTGAACTCTGCCATGTCGCAAGTTGTGGACACTGTGGTCAAAGTCTTTGCGGCCAAACCCTCCCGCCAGGTTCCTCAGGTCTTCCCACCTCTCCAGATCCCCCAGGCCAGATTTGCAGTCAATGGGGAAAACCACAATTTCCACACCGCCAACCAACGCCTCCAGTGCTTTGGCGACGTCATCATTCCGAACCCCCTGGACACCTTTGGCAACGTGCAGATGCCGAGTTCCACAGACCAGACAGAAGCCCTGCCCCTGGTTGTCCGCAAAAACTCATCTGACCAGTCTGCCTCCGGTCCCCCGGCTGGCGGCCACCACCAGCCCCTGCACCAGTCACCTCTCTCCACCGCAGGCTTCACCACGTCCACCTTCCGCCATCCCTTCCCCCTTCCCTTGATGGCCTACCCATTTCAGAGTCCATTAGGTGCTCCCTCTGGCTCCTTCTCGGGAAAAGACACAGCGTCTCCTGAATCCTTAGACTTAACTAGGGAGACGACAAGTCTGAGGACCAAGATGTCATCCCACCACCTGAGTCACCATCCTTGTTCACCAGCACACCCGCCCAGCACGGCGGAAGGGCTGTCGTTGTCGCTCATCAAGTCCGAGTGTGGCGATCTTCAAGACATGTCCGAAATCTCACCTTATTCCGGAAGTGCAATATCCTTTTATTTTTTTCCCCTCAAGGGAAACAAATTAAAAACAAAACAAAACAACCAGGTTTCCCAAAGGGTCAGGTTGACACAATATGTAGAACAATGTAGATTAGTATCTTCTTGAGAACGCAATCTTTCCTATTATTCAAAGTAATAAGCTTTTACCCACACGTGGCACTTCTGATGGCACAAACCCTTCCCACGAAACCCACATCTTTGCAACTTTCACAGGTTAATTGCTTCAAAGAGTTAGTATTTAAGATGCGCCTTTTCAGCAGTGTTTTTTTCCTTTGTGGTGCTTCCTGTATTTTCTTCTTATCCTTTTTGTTTGTTTTTTTAAAGAGGAAATTCAGAGATGGAAAAAAAATCTCATTGTAAATATTGAATTCTATCAGATACATTTTTAAAAAGATGGCAAGTTTTATGATGGCGTGAAAAGTCAGTTTCAGATGCCTGAGAGTCCGTGAGAAGTCTCCCTCTAAGCTGTCTATAGGCTCCTGGGCCCTTTAAAGAAGGCCTGATTCAATGCAGAGCACCGTACTGGTGGGAGGCTGTGGTGGGAGAAAGATGGATGTGGGAGTGGAGTTAGATTCTCTCTTTAATCTTAAACTGAGACGCGTTTTTTTTAAAGGAAATACACAGGTACTGATTTATTCAGACGGCATTGGTCTCTCTCGTTCACCCAAGGTCTGTTCTTTGGGTTTGTTGCAGCTGCCTCCATGCATGATTTAACCTCTGTTCAGCCATACACAGAAATCTTTTGTCCTAACATACACAAAGCAAATTATTTTGGAAAGCGAGAGAGCACAATTAAATATAAAACTCAGCTGTATTCGACTTAAAAAATGGCTCTTTTTATGACTCTTTTATATTTTGAACCTGACTTTGATGTCGTGATGCCAGTTATATTTTTTATTAGACCTGTCCTGAACTCCAGCTATTTTTAACTGATGATTTTTTTTTCTTCTCTGTAAACTGGTCCTTGCAGTAAATTTTTAAAAATCTGGGGTCATTGGTGCTTTGGGATAGTAGAATAATAGCATTTGGGGGTAGGTAGCAGCATGCTTCTTTAATAAATTGCAGATGAACATGAAATTTAGCAATTAAGTTGGCTGTTGCTAAATTGAGGACTTTGAGCAATCGTCTTGATGACTAGAAATTGACATTTTAGTATGTAAGCCCACTGCACTGGCTGCCACATAAGTGCAGAGTCCCAGCTCTGGTGGGAATGTGTTTTCCTAGGCAGGTGGAGGTTGTCCTTCCAGCCAAGTCTTACAATACTGGTGAAGCTTTCTGATCAGATGAAGGGGAGCGAGTAGGAGAGCCGTTTGGGCAGTAAGCACAGAATCTCTTTCTACTGAAGAAGAAGAAGAAAGAGAATCATGTCATGAGGGAAAGGAAGAGAAAGATTTTGAGGACTTGGATATAGAAAAAGACATTGAGTTTGGGGTTGGTTGCTGATTTAATGTCTACCTTTCATAGATCTACAATTGAATCCACCTGTCAGGAACCAGAGCTGCACAAAGCACCCCACTTTACCTGTTCTTATAAGCAAGCAATAAACACTGGTCAAAATGATGGGAGTATAGCTGTTGGTGATGACAAAGGCAAAGTAAGAAGACACCATGGCTTCAATGTTTTTTTTTACTCATTTGCAGGATGAGCATCATCTGAGGTTCATACCAGGCTACTGTCCAGGGCTAGAGCCCCATTGCTCCTCAGAGATTGCTTACTTCGTTTTGAAACCAATCGTAGTGATGGTGGGTTGTTTCTCTCTCTCTCTCTCTCTCTCTCTCTCTCTCTCTC